TTCTGTCAGTTGGAGAGTAAATGTACATTTATTATTACAGCAGCAAATTACTAAATAATTGGTGTGAACTGTTGATTTTACACACCAAATCCTTTGCTAAGTAGGGAACAGACTGACAATTAATACAAATACTGAGAACATATTAGCTAGATAATTGTAGAATGAACAGTGTATCCTCTTTAAGCCTACAAATGCTTAAAAATTTTTAAGTAACACAAGGCAGGATAATACCGATTAGATGACATCCTAATTCTATCTTTTGTGGAGTTGCTGGACACATGCCCTATTCTAACATAAAACAAAATAAACTTTAAGACTTATACTTAATTTTTAGTTATTTAATTCCACTTAGCCATGACCCTTGTTTCAGTAATTTTTCAGAAAAATTATTCTTCCTGAAGAAAAATGCCAAGCCCTTAAAATATTCCAAAAGATTATATAAAAGAATTAAATTTGGGGTAAAACTCCAGATTTATACTCTTATCTCTGAAGTCCTTTCTAGGCTGGTGCCTGTGGAGCTTGGCAGCACTTGCCACCAAATACTCACTTAGAATCATGCATAGGTTCTTGGAAGCTGTGACCTGAAGCAAAACGACATATAATGAAACCAATTTTACCACAGGCTGATTGATAGAATAACAGTTAAGTTCCAATGGCATATTTCTGGCCACAAAAACATCATCCAACTCTGTGTGTGTGTGTGTGTGACGGATTTCACTCTTGTTGCCCAGGCTGGAGTGCAATGACGCGATCTCGGCTCACCGCAGCCTCCACCTGCTGGGCTCATGTGTATGGGTCATTGTATTTGAAAAAGCTGTTTGGGGTTATTCAAAAAAAAAAAAAAAATTACAATTTGAGTTGTAACTTCCTCCAAAAAAAAGATTTTGTGTTGCTTCTCGCTAGCATTTTGGGGAACTCCAGTACAGACTCACCATAATTAAGGTTCAAACAATCCAGGTCCTGTCAGGTTGGAACCTAGATTTTATGAGGGTGTATCACTTCCGCTTTACCCTCACGTGTCACTATTCTGGGTCTCGGAAACTATATGGGCATTTCTCAGATCCCTATCCTGACTAAATGGGTTGGATCCAAGCACTACATGAGGCATCCAAACTACAACTAGCTTTGGGATGATTTCTTCTGCATCAGGAAACACACACTCAGAACAACGGGGGCTTTAGTGCTGGGCATACCTAGCTGGGTCCTAGCACCACTCTGGCCCAGGAAGTCCTTATTTTGTAGATAGCAGTTCAATGCTTTTAAGACATTTATTTTTTTCTTTCTTCTTTTTTTTTTTTTTTTTTTGAGACGGAGTCTCGCTGTGTCGCCCAGGCTGGAGTGCAGTGGCGCCATCTCGGCTCACTGCAAGCTCCACCTCCCGGGTTTACGCCATTCTCCTGCCTCAGCCTCCCGAGTAGCTGGGACTACAGGTGCCCGCCACCTCGCCCCGCTAATTTTTTGTATTTTTAGTAGCGACGGGGTTTCACCGTGTTAGCCAGGATGGTCTTGATCTCCTGACCTCGTGATCCACCCGCCTTGGCCTCCCAAAGTGCTGGGATTACAGGCGTGAGCCACCGCGCCTGGCCTCTTTCTTTTTGCTTTGTTTGTTGGCAAAAAACGAACAAACAAACAAACAAAACCACTCTTATCCAGTGGGAAACGTGGTTGAAATTATCTAGCCTAGCACGACTGAAAATGCATGTTCCGGCCAGGCACGGTTGCTCACGCCTGTAATCCCAGCACTTTGGGAGGCCACGGCAGGCGGATCACAAGGTCAGGAGATCGAGACCATCCTGTGAACAGTTAAACCCCATCTCTACTAAAAATAACAAAAAATTAGCCAGACGTGGTGGCGGGCGCCTGTAGTCCCAGCTACTCGGGAGGCTGAGGCAGGAGAACGGGGTGAACCTGGGAGGCGGAGCTTGCAGTGAGCCGAGATCGCACCACTGCACTCCAGCCTGGGCGACAGAGCAAGACTGTCTCAAAAAAAAAAAAAAAGAAAGAAAATGCATGTTCCTCCTACTCTCACCTTTTTCTTTCACTCCAAATTCCGTGGCTCCAGTCACCCTCTCTGACTTTGTGGGAACTCCTACAGTATCTGTCCCGAAGGATACAGGGCATTCCCGGGGAGTTTCGCATTCACGAGCTTGCCTCTCGCTTTACTGCCCGCCCAGCACACACCCTCGAAGGCTGCTGCCCATCCTCCTTTCCACGCGGCTTCCATTACAGACACAGCCCTCTCTCTTCATTCTCAGCACCTTCGTGTCTCCGTGGCAGACTTTTACTAAAGGCTTAGGGATGACAGAGAAGGGTCACAGTACTCCTCAAGATAGGAAGAAACTACTCAGCAGTGCTTCTGAGAGATTCTTTCACAACTCCTTACCTCAAGAAAACGAGAGTGATGCGGCCCTCTTCCGATCTGCCCTCTCGCCCCTCACCAGGCTTCCCTCCATTCCCAAGACCTCCCCCTCCTCCAGCTCTCTGCTGGCTCCTGATGAGCCCTCATCCTCACGCCACCACTGCTGAAATTCCACTTGACTTTGCAGAGCAATTCAGCTCTTTTCTGAAGTATTCCCATCTGGGCAATGTCCGCAAAACCTCTCCATTCTCAACCAGTCCATGAAGATGTTTTCCTTCACCGAATTAGCAAAATTTTCTGAAATAAATGCTGTCCTCCTAAAACGCAGAAATGAGGAGAGGTGTTTTGTTTTTGTTTATTTGTTTGTTTGTTTTTGAGATGGAGTCTCGCTCTGTCGCCCAGGCTGGAGTGCAGTGGCGCCATCTCGGCTCACTGCAAGCTCCGCCTCCCGGGTTCACACCATTCTCCTGCCTCAGCCTCCCGAGTAGCTGGGACTACGGGCGCCCGCCACCACACCCGGCTATTTTTTTGTATTTTTAGTAGAGACGGGGTTTCACTGTGTTAGCCAGGATGGTCTTGATCTCCTGACCTCGTGATCCGCCCACCTCAGCCTCCCAAAGTGCTGAGATTACAGGCTTGAGCCACCATGCCCGGCCTGACAGGCTTGTCTTTTTTAAGCAATTTTTTCTTCCTAGAATATTCTCTGCCCTTAATAAAATCTTTACAATCCCTGCAAAACTTCCAACCCACAAATCCTTCCTCTAGGAGGCAAGTGATGAAACCAGGGAGGGGAGCTTCACATGGTCAAGGCCTGCAGATGCTTCTCCCAAGCTTGCTCAGGGTTGATGGCTCCCACCAGTCTGAGAGCTCCAACGCGAGAAATTCTATTTACTGCTTTAGCAGCCTGGGTATTCTTATTTTGAGGCCATGATAGAAATTCCTTAAGGTTTCATTAGAAGAACAGGAACAGGTTACACGGTTTAACCTCTTTACAGCAACACACATCTTTGTCTGTTGTGAAGCACCGATCCTTTAAACAAAAAATTGCCATATGAAAATGGCCTACTCAGAGGCTGTGCTCAAAATAAAAATATGATTTACTAAAAAGTACAGATTTCGTTGGGGTTCCTTTGGTTATTGTTGCTGCTCTTTTAAACAATCATCCAGCAAATCCGCAATGTGCTTCCTTCTAAACCACAGCACCAGAGAAAATCAATTCAAGTATTTCCCAAACTGCAGCACTGGAACAAACGAGCACTAACCACAAGTTTCTAACCTTCAAGAAAACATGAAATATGCTTTCCAAGGGACACAAGCAGAAAAGGAAGAACCTGCTAAGAACGTGTAATTCACATCTACTGCAAATCATATTTCAAAGAGCTCAATGGGGCTGGGGAACGCTTGTGAAAGTGCTGGCAGGGAAAAGAATCCAACTGTACCCAAACAAGACCTCAGGATGCAGCGTGCGATGAGCGCCCAGGAATGCACTGACGGAGGAAAAAACAGTATTTTTAACAGACGATAGACTGAAAAGCAGCTAAATGTAATACTGAAAGTATTATCAGAAGAGCTGCATATAACTTCCTGATATGGAAATTAGGTAGCAACCATCAGACACAGAGTTAAAAATCAGATTCAATCAAGGAACAAAATGGAGTTTGTAATTTGTAGGAGTCCACTTTAGAATATCACTCAGCAGTTTCCCAAACCGAGCGCCTTCCCCGTGAAGACTGCTGTCACGGGCTTCCGTGCTAAAGGCGCAGGGAGGGGAAACGGCACGGTGACCTGCGACGCTGAGCGGGCAGGACCCTGCAAGGCACGTGGCCAGGGCTAAGTTTCCAGCAAAGTGCAGTTTCTCTCCACGTTGTGTGAAATAATTTGCCAAGCGTGCGTAGAACTCTTTGTGGAAGAGCATGTCTCTCTTCCATAGCTCATCGCTGACCAGCTGGTATCACAAATGCAGGCCTGGTTCTGCTTGGCATCACTTGCTTAATGCTCTGTTCAAGAATTTAACAAACTATCGGGAGAATATGCCTGGAACGGGCAAGCATTATCTCTCAACTTCCATTTAATTAAACTCTGCTATTGTAATATGACAGTCAGCACATCGCAGGGGGAATTATTTTAAAGATGAAGGTAAAGAGTATTTCAAAGCCCCCACTTAAACATGAAAGCATAATCTGAAACTGCCTGAGCACACACTGTCATTTTTCTGTAATATTAAAGATGTTATTTCCAGACTCAGTAATTAGTTAGATTCCATGGAGGATTATTCTAGCATCCTTGATAGAAAAATGATGTACAGAGCCAGGGAACAGAGTACCGAAGGACCACCATAAACAACCATCTGTCACCTAGATGGTGACAATCACCAAGCTTAATAAGGAGTGAGCACTGCCTGCTTCGGGTGCACACTCACTACTCTCCTGCAAAGCGAATGTACTGAATTCTGATGATATCGCCTTAAGAAGAAGAAATAAGAGCAGCTTGCGCGCCAGCAGCTGTCTCAGAAGGATGCCCATGAGGGATCCTGAGCAGGCCAGGATGCCACCGGCGGATGAGGACAGCACCCTGTCCCACCGAGGGCTGGGGGCCACCTCCCCCTTCCCACAGAGAGGGGCTGCACAGGAAGCTGGCTTACCATCTATCCGGCTCACGAGTTCTTCTAACATTTTCACTTTCATTTGAATTCCAGGTTGGGCAAAGGTGTAGTTATCCTAAGGAAAAAATAATAATGTGAATCATAGGCATATAAAATAAAACACACTTTCCAAAAGGGAAAAAGGCAGCTGGGATAAAGGGAACAGCTTGATAATAGGACGAATTCACAAGCAGATTTTATCTTGAGAAACAAATAAGCGGACGCGCACTGCACAGCACAGCCCCTCGCGGTGCCGCCGAGTGCTATTTTGAGAAGGGAAAGTCCAGTATTTCCCGATGTCAGGTGATGAGCATGCACATCTCAGGGAACACTGACTGGTACATTTCTATTTGTAAACGTGAGACACTTATGTCTAAATTGAAAATCAGGCATCCAAGTGCATAGCTCATTGACCAGAACAGTCTTTGGGAACTGACCACCTCGCTGGCCACCTGGACCCCGAGCACTCAGCCCTGCTGGAAGCCAATGGCAAATGTGCCCAGCGCTGACAGCACCACCATCGTGGCCACAATCCAAGTGCTGATGACATGATGCTGACAACAGTGGACATGTGGCTTTACCCTCGGAGATATAGTTGGGTGAACTCAGGTTAAGTTCAGATACTAACAGAAGAAGGTCTGCATAGCATCAAAGGGAAGGGGGCCTGGGCAGTTTCAAGTCAAACAGCCCAGGAATGGGGCCCCAGCTCTAGGACTCAGGAGCTGTGTGACCCTGGCAAGTAACACAACCCCTCTGGGCTTCCGTTTCATTACCAATAACATGAGAGTAATAACACTGCCTTCTAGGACTGTCTGAGGTCTCAAGGAAATAAGTAAGTGGAATGTGGAAGAGATTTCAAGACACAGCAGGTACCGGGCGGTGACAGGTCTATTACTCCTGTGTCACCACCTAAGAGAGCACATACAAGACACTGGGGGGTGCGGCCAGAGAAGACTGGTCACACTGCCTCATCTCACAGCAGGAACACAAAGAGGCAGCTCCCATCAACAAGAGAAGGGCATTCCCTATGCAGGCTGCCCTTTGGGCCTCAGCCAGTGCTCGGGGGCATTTTCAGAAGGAGGGTTTCAACCAGACTCGTGGTTAACAGACTTAATCTGTACCCAACAGCAGTGAATGTGGAAAGCAGAATAATAACCAGCCCCAAAGACGCCCAGGTTCCAACCCCTGGAACCTGCGGATGTGCTGCCTTACATGGCATGGGGAACCAGGGTTGCAGGTGGAACTAAGGTTGCTAATCTATGAACCTGTGCAGAAAGGAGAATCAGAAGGCAGCAAAACGACGGGTGCTGTGCCTGGGGCTCCTGTGGGTTCCGGCCTAGGCTTCTAACTCTTTAGTGAGCACACAGGGCCTCTGGCCCGGCCAGCACTGGGAGATGACTGCCTGTGGCAGCTCTGCCCTCAGGGAGTGACACTGGGGATGGCCCCAGGAGCCTCAGCTAGGGGAAGCCAGGCAGGCCACTGGCCTCAGTAAGGGCACAGGTAATGCAGTCTTGGTCCGAACAGGAGGTGTTGGGCACAGGCAACTGCAGCTCACCAAGCGGGCTCAGGCCACCACGCAGGTACTAGCTTGCAGAAGGCAGCGTCAGGGCAGCCTCTCCGACAGTGGGGGATGATCTGCTGCCTGTGCGCCCAAGAGGGCAGGGGTCTGCAGGCACCACCTGGCAGGACGGAGGTGCTAGCTTTGCGTGACAGGGGAGCAGGTCTACACGGGCAGTTGTCCACATGGCACCCGACATTCAGAGCCCAGGAGTAAAGTGGAAGGACTGATCTGGACTTGATACTGATACTCCTCTTCCATAGGCTCAGGACTGGAAAACGGTTCGAGAACAACGTTCCTGGAGGTGGTCAACCAGGCAGGCCTCCCTGTGCTGTGAGGGGACGCAGCCACAGAGTGCACAGAATCTGCAAGGAAGGGTGACGGGGCACACAGCAAGGGTGTCAGCCCTCGGGAGGCCCCAGTAACGTGGAAACAGCACTCACAGAACCCCCAGCTCCAGAACCCAGGAGGGGACCCCAGGTAAGACAAGCGTGGAGCTGAGTGACTGCTTTCGGGCCAGCAGCATTCCCAAGTCTGGAAAGTCGAATGTGAACACACACAGCCAGCACTTACTACGTTTCTCTCTCTCTCTCTCTCTCTCTCTCTCTCTCACATGCACACACACACACAAGCACGCGCACACACACCCAGAGCACACGTGACATCTTCTAACAAGAACAGGCATGGCGGCCGCTGTGGCCCAGAACACAGAAAATGCCTACAAGGCACTGAGGATTTTTCTGTCCCTAGAAATGGAAAATGAGCCGACTCAGACCTGCCCGCTTGCTGAGGGATTTCTCCCAGGTGGATTTCAAGTGACGGGCTCTGGATTCCAAACTGTCACATCTCTGTGAGGGCAGAACCACGAAAACTCCGTTTGCCACCTTCACTTAGAATGACGCCAAGGCCCTCTGGTGACCCTGGGTGGCAGGAAGGATGGGCTCCGGAAAGCGGATCTCTGCAGTGACTGCTCCGGGGCCTGGGGATGATCTGTTTCCTAGATGTCGTGGGCCGATTCAGGGATAAGCTTGGAGGCCTCCTGAATTTGGCTGTCCAAAATACGGCGTTTAATGGGCAGGACTTTTAGGCCTGAAGGAGCTGCGACGGTGTCAGTGAGACCCCGGCACCTGTCCAGCTGAGATGGAGCCGCAGCAGCAAGTGAAGGACAAATTGTGAGCTTTCATATATTTGAAATTTAACAGGAGTAAGAAATTTTGGCTCCAGACTTGAATTCCTTTGACTGTCATCATCGTTGGAACTGAACTTGCAGTGGTTACCCTTTAAGACTGAATTTCTCCCCAGAGACTGGACAACAGAAGCAGATTTATGTTAACATTTAGGGCACACTGTGTGTTGCAAGTTTGCATCATGTCGTGGAGGAATCCCGACGAGCCCGGCTGAACAATACAGCCGCACAGAATTAAGGGTGAGAAGTAAACCACAGAGTGTGTGGCCGCCTCCAGTACAGAGAGGCCTTAGGATTACTTAATTAATGTCCTATTCTGACAAATTCTGGAGCCGTGGGGAGCACATTCTAACCACCCCACTGGTCTGTCCTGAGGGACTGTGATCTCTCCCACTCCAAGGGAGGCCACGCCCCCGGCTGTCCAGGGCCCTGATGGTTATGTGAATAACAGACAGACCTGGAGTCAGCGCCAGGTGGAGGGAGCGCAGCTGCTGCCTCTCCTGTACTGGCTCTATTCCCAGAAATGCTCGCTCCACGGAGGCTAAAACGGGGAGAGGCGAAGGTGGGTTCAGTCCCTCGCACTTCTCAGAGGTTCCACAGCAGGCGGGCAGGGCCCGGCCCGCAGCGCCGGCTCTGATGGGGTGGGCGAGCCTGATGGGTCCTGGGATGGGTCAGCCCACTCAGTGGCTCTCCCACTAAGACAGGATCTCAGGCTCTCGAGCAGAAATAGTTATTATTTGGCCTCCATCTGCGACAACTTTATTTCTCAATTTGTTCAAAACCCAGGTAGGGAAGACAGGTTCTCAGAAATCCAAACAATAAAAAAGAATGGCACTGAGAGCCCATAAAGTAAAGGTCTGCATTTTGAAAGAGAAAAGGTTTGCATTTTGGAAGACCTGCAAAGACTGACAGCTATGGCCTTGGCATTCTGGCTTCAGACTAGGGGCAGAGAAGACCAGCCTTCAGAAGACTGCAGCACGGACGCCCGGCCCCACCTCCGGAGGGCGAGACACCAAGGCTAGAGCACGGGGCGGGGGTCAGTCTGGGCCCTCCTGGCTCCAGAGGTGAGCCCAGGCTGCAGAAGGCCCCACTCAGTGGCCAGGAAGCCTCCAAGGGCACTCTAAGGAGGCAGACACCGTAGCCAAGGAACCCAGAGCCAGGCGGCTGAGGAAAGGAATGACTAAGACCACCCCATGGCCCTCCCAGCAGCCTGTCCCGGGGAGGCACTGACTGCCCGGGCCCTCCCAGCAGCCTGTCCCGGGGAGGCACTGACTGCCCGGGCCCTCCCAGCAGCCTGTCCCGGGGAGGCACTGACTGCCCGGGCCCTCCCAGCAGCCTGTCCCGGGGAGGCACTGACTGCCCGGGCCCTCCCAGCAGCCTGCTGCCCGCAGGCTCCACCAAGACCCCTGGGCAGATCACGGGCTCTGTCTGCTTAAGGCCCAGAAATCAGATTTGCCCTCAGGATACCCCAGCCCAGCACCCCGCCTCCCACACCTGGCCCCCAGATCACCTGCGCTAGTGAACATGCACCTGCGCTAGTGAACATGCACCTGCGCTAGTGAACATGCACCTGCGCTAGTGAACATGTACCTGCGCAGCAAAACAGGATCTTGTAAGCAAAAATACTCTACGCTTATAAAAATATCATTAGTAATAATATTAACATTATTCCCTTCATAAAAAGTAAACACGCATATCCTTTCCAATTGAGATCGTGTGTCTTTGAAAAGGGATATAATTTACAAAACGTATGAGTCAGAGGGAAGAAAGGAAGGGCTGAAGACAATGGCCTTTTGCGAAATGTTTCACAGAAGGTAAAGTCTGTGAATATAAATTTTTTAACATGCTCTCAGCTTGCCTTACACCTGTTGCCATTACAACATCACACTCCTCCCAATAACAAATAACACTTTCTGCGCTTTTCGGAAGAAAAGTAGAATAAAATTTTCTCAGGGAGCATTTTAGAGAAGAGTTGAAATATAAATTCCTATCAGCTCAGCTGGAAGTACCAGGAGGCAAACCTGCCAGCTCACGGAGAAGTTAGACTCCTCCTGCCTCTCTGACAAAGGGCTCTTCCACCTGGACCAGGATCCAACTCCCCACAAAGTCCAGCCTCCTCTTTCCAGGCTAATCTCACCGTAACACAGTGTCTTCCCCACGCCGAAACCAAATGTGCCTTCCGCACACAGGCCCTGACCTGCCTCCGAAACAGCTCAGGAAGTCTCTTCTGCAAGCCACGGCCTGAGAGACCAGATTCCTTCGACTCTTAAAAGACTCCCTTCCACGTCCTCTCAGGGGCCCCTGGCCACCAGCCCTCAACACAGAAGCTGGG